AACTTTAAATAAAATTAAAATGGTCTCCATTTGATAATGTTTCTGGATTCGCGGCGTGCAAAGGTTACAATAATACAGCACTTTACTTTGCAGCGAATGTGACCCACTTCCAAGGCCATTATACGAGGCCTCCAAAGGACTCCCGCCAACCATAAAAAGCAACTATATTTTAATGAAACTCAAACATTTACTGCTAAGCTCATAAATCACCTTTGACACATCATCTTCACTTTAATGCCCATTTATGACCAACAATGGACAGGCCGACGGGCGTTGCACACCCACTGTGCCGCAGCGCACTATTTTTAATTAATAGTAAAAACAAGCAGCAAACGCCCACAAGGCTTACTGCAACGGCCGCTGCAGTTGGTGAACTGTTGGCGTTGGCGCTGCGTGCAAATTGTGCCTTAAACGAAAATTAAATGCTGCGCTAAATGAATATTTAAGACTGTGTGCGCATGTGTGTGTATGTATGTGTGTGTCTGTTTGCATGGGTGCATGTTGCCTGCAGCAAATGCAACAAATAGCGGCGCTATCAGCTTGCCACGGCAGGTGGTGTTAAAATAAAATTTTCTACTTTAAATAAATTTTATGAGTTTTTACAACGGCGGCAACGGCGTTGAGGACGCCAACCGCTATTAAAACGATTGCAGTTTAATGGTAGAGCTAAGTGAACGATTTATTTACATATATGTTGGGCTGGTCGGAGAGTTCATTCCTTTAACCGCTAATAGCTAAGTGCGGCATATTATTTTGGAAACATCGAAGAAACTTATAGATTGTTAACGCTTATTTCTTCAAAAGCAAACTGTCAGAAATCGAACGAAAAATTTTAAGAATTATTAAAAAAAAAATTTGTTTTGATGAATTTGGTTTAACGCAAACCACAACCACTGTGTCTGCGTATAAATTTAAATTTTCAATTTCATACTGTTGCAGTAACGCGAAGCGCATATATCAGCCACTCATACAAGTCATGACTAAAAATCGGCATATTCACCCACTTTCAAGCAGATATTACAACAATATTTACTGCAAATTTTACGGCACGGCCATTTCCGCTGGCCGCCTAATGACTATTGCAGCAAAGCCTAGTTTAAAATAACCAAAAATACCCAGAAACACACAGCGACAATGTAAGTTGCTAGCACAGTGTTGCATGAGCGTTGGTGCACCGCACGAGGCAGACGAATTTCAGTCGCTTACGGCCAAAGATGGCATGCCGCACGCATTATTAGAGCCAACACTGTAACCACTATAGCATATATACTTGTACGCACATATGACGTAATGTTGCCACACCGTAGTGCCACTTCATGCAAAACACTCTAGCGACCGCCGCCGCGCCACTCAATTTCCGCTAATGAGGCAGCACGTGGCGAAATTGTTTGTGCAACGAAATTTAATTTTGTTTGCTTTATTGCAGCAATTTGTTGTTGTTGTTGCTTGTTAAGTAAATAAGCAGTGTATGTGTGTGTGTGTGTGCGTAAATGCATTTTTGTTGCCATTTTCTTTTGTCCATTCCACCAATATGCAATTGGTTTACAATTTTGTGGCTGCAACAACGGCACCAACCACAACCTAAAAATAAACATTATGCCAACAACAGCGGCAACTGCATCGAAAGATAGTCAAACAAATAATTCTAACTGTCCAGCGCACAGCTAGACACCGCTCCGCTTGCTCATATAAAATTCTGGTTGCAAGCTCGTTCAATATCCAATTACATAGTGGGTTAAATTGTGGAATTTACTCGAATTGTGTGAAATATGAAAACGCTATTTCTATCACATTTTAGAAGACGCTCTGGCAATGCAGAAGTCGCTGATGCCGAGTACTTCGACTCTGTACCCCTGGGGGTGTCTCAACATGGCACATATAACCCTAAGTGGTATTTTATGGCAACACTTTAGGTTAGGAAAGTTAACCTTAAATCCTCATCAAGTCTTGGAAATATATTTCATAGATTTGCAAACTAAATCAGCAGGAGTTCACGAATAAATGTCTCAAAGACCCATTATAATTTTTTATAAAAGGAATCAGCGACATTAGCTACTACTATGAACTCAACAAAATCTCTAAAATTCCAAAAAGATCCAAGTCAGATACTCAAGTCACTATTTTCTTTTCCTTGCTACAAAAGAGCCCACTGTACACTCGCTTAACATGCATACATACATACATAAGTATTGTATATTGTATATGCCGTTCTAAAAATAATGTCTCTTTTGCTATTTCCATTGCTGCCGCGCCTCCTGTTGCCATTTTGTGCTGGCACTCCGCACGCAGAATTGTTGCTTTTGCGGCAATTATTATTATGAGTTTGTTGTTTTAGTGATGCGTACGTGCCTCCTTTGTTGGCGCGTAACTCGTTTAAAAAACAATCAACTTTAATTTCGTTTCAAAATTGTCCAAATATAGTAAATCGTTAGAGTGGCCAATCAGCAGCTAACTAAATTGCCGTCGCAACACACTTCATGCTGTTGTGGCTAACGGTATTGTACGAATACACTACATGTTTTACATTAGCTGATAATTATTTTGCAATAAATTTTACAAATGAATTATAAATATTTACACAATTTCAGTGGACATAATTATAATAAAGGAAAACCATGTAAAATAGCAATAAAAAGGTATGGCAGCTCTTTGAAGGCTTTTTTTTGTAAAAGTAAATAATGTCATATATCAAAAAAAGAAATAAAAACTCGGAAAGGGTATATAGGGAATATATTTTTCAACTCAACCAAAGGCGGTTGGTAAAGGAAAGAACTTTTCGTGCTTGGAACTTCCCAAATTACCGATATCTCAAAAACTGAGGGACTAGTGCGCATATAACTATACCGACGGACACACAGACGGGCATGGCTAAACCGACACAGCTCGTCACGCTGATCACTTAGATATATATTTTATAGGGTCTCTGACATTTTCTTTTGGATGTTACACATTTTGTGGCAAACTTAATATAATATAACCTGTTCAGGGTATAAAAAGTGCTATAAGCTCAGAAGTAGAAATTCCCTCTTATGTATCTAAAAACATTATTATGATGGATATAAATGCGTTGAGTTCGATTAAGTTCAGATCAGAGACGCAAATTGGAGCGAAGCAAGAAATTCATACAGCTTTTTAGTTCTCCTTGATTAAAAATGCCCGTTTGATATTTTGGTGAGTGGTCGAAATAGAAGCCATATCAAGCCGACCATAATAGATTCACATATTCACGAAGAATTCCTTGCAGAAACACGCGGAGATAAAGCAAGCAGCTGAGTTAGGTTAAGCCTCTGAAAAGCGGTAAAGAGGAGCGAAGTCTGGAAGTGCATGTATGTATGTATGTACATCGTAATTTCTTATACAATATAATATAATATTTTGAAGTATAGTCTATAAAAGTTGATCAACTACAAAATTTGCGTCGAAACGTGGTCTAATGGAGTTTTCTATAAGCTTCAATGCTTCGATAACCGATAAGAAAACTGGAGCTAAATTTTTAGGGTATTGAACCTGCCAACCTAAGAAACTTACTGTTAGTCGGAAAGCATTCCAAATTAAACACTTATTAGCTGTCTTCGACTTTAGATATGGCATCCGTAGACAAACTCAGTTACACAGCTTCTTAGAACAATGCTTCTTTTTTATACTTTCTTATATGCTGCCATAGCGTGACAAATAGTGACTCACGAAATACTCCACCAACAACCAAGTGTCTTTACAAAATTTTCGTCGGAAATTTAAATGAGAATAGGTTTCAGGAAAAATGACAGTCAATATAGTGGATTAACAACAACAATAACAAAATTTGCACGATTAACATGTGGCTAAAACCACCACCGACCACCGGCCACAACAAAGCTAGTGATTCACCAGTGCAGTAGTCGATTTGTGGCAACTCAGCGCACAGCTGTCTGCATTTGCAGCAAAATTTTTCGAAAACAAAACTTCTACGAAATTGACAATCGCATTAGTTTCATGCTCGGCAAATATAACACGTAAAATAACCATTGTGTAGTATAAAATAACAACAAACACATGGCCAATTGGCAATTATCAATTACCGTTTTGTCAATTACCCAGTGTCGATTGCACGTTGGCGTCAAATTGCCACTGCAACATGAATAACAAATCGAAAATGCCGCAGAAAAGTTTGCAGCGCGTAATAAATGTGGTTACTCACAGCAGTATATATATATATATATATATGTGTGTGTATATGTGTCGGTGTGGGGATATACCGCGTTTGCTTAGTCAATTTTTAGGATTGTGGCACGTGCGCTAATGAGCCGATTGTTTGTTCATAATAACGGTATAGACGTGTTAGGCGTTTAGCTGAAGTGGGCGTGGCAGCAGCAGGCAACGAATGCAAATATAGCACATGTTGCAAGTATGTATGTGCACATATTAATGGAATAGTTGGAATTTGTTGCGCCGGAAATGGGTTAATCAGCTTTAAATGGGCCTTTCATGGAGTCGCACACTATTACATATATAATATGTTATTATGTTGTGCCGCAGTGTGGAATTTCGTTCTTTTTTTTAAGCTCGCTGAGAAACTTGTTGTAGATAAAAAATTGCCATATTAATTCCAATGATACATTTTGTATTATCAGAAATCATAAGCCGCTAAGATATACTCGCTCCATTTTCTGCCTACAGAGGAATTGTAGCTTTTCTGCTGCCTAAGAACATTCCCAAATGTATACTTATTTTCTACCACGGGTGTCCGGCCTCCCACTCTTTAACTTAAACACCAAACTTTTTTTCTTAGTCTTCCAAAATCCGATTTCTCATCTTTTGATCCTTGATCTCATGGAAGAGTCATATAGTAAAACTAAGTATGTAAAGATGACCAATGTGTGTATGTCCGTGTATATTAACGGTATTATGGTACATACTGCCCTGTCAAGCACTTTAGGGCTGTTGCACACTGCGAGTATGGCACACGGTTTGTTCTTCCGTTGTGTCGCTTATTCCAGCACCCTGTTAGTTTTTCTCCGAATAACAAAACATATGAAACAAGTTCAGATTTGAAAGCTTTCAACACAAAAAAAAAACACAAATAGGTCTCAAAATTTTTGAATATGTAATATAAAATTTTTATAAGCAATAAAACACAATCATACTTCGATTAAAGATAATATGAGCTTTAGAGGTAAATAAAAACTAAACTAATTAGGTGCGGCATAATCATATACGCTGTCCTTTTAATTGCAGCTCACGTCAAACGTAATTTATCTTCATCAACGGCCGCAAGTACACTCTTTCAATCCGAGTTGATCTATCACACGGTCAAGCATGAGCCAACGAGCAATTTTGTTATATCGCCAGTAGCTATACGCTCGCTTCTGACAATAATCAGCGTCTCCGTCATACGAGAGCCACATCGCGAACTACTCGCGGCAATGGGTTTGAAGAGCTCACATCAGGGCATACAAGAATACAAAGCCTGCCGCAATGCCAATAAGGACGAGTTTGTCTTCACGCAGCACAATGCCATCTATTTGGATAATCGTTTTGAGATCGATATGTCATTCCGCGTTACCTGCCTGGAACAATTTCAAACACGTCCGGAGAATCTAAACTTCGAGCAGCTGGACGGCATTACTCATCACATTAACACCTGGATTAATGAACAGACGGATGACCAAATACTTACACGTATTACAGCTGACACAATAGAAGTACTCCAACATAACTTGCTCGTAAATATTGGGCGTTTCGAGAGCAGATGGAAGAAGGCATTCCCGAAGAAGTTTCTTACTAAAAGCGATTTCTGGTTAACGCCAACTGAGAAGGTGGAGGTGCCTATGATGCACGACTACTGCGACATACCATTCGGCGAGTTGGACGAACTGAAGGCCACTGCGCTGGTACTGCCTTACCGTAACATAAATGTAAAACTCATCGTGCTCATACCCAAGGAGATCGATGGTTTGCTCAAAATGGAAGAGGATATGAAGCTGCAACGTGTCGATATTACCATCTTGCCGTCGTTGTTGAAGGTGAAAAACGTTAAAGTGGGTATGCCACGTGTCAAACTAGAGTCTAATCTGCTCATAAATGATATATTAAAGGAGGTGAGTAACTAAATTACGTTGCCTTGCTAGTCTCATATGCGCCTTATTTGAAATGCTCGTTATCTCTTTGGCCGTCAAGATTGGCATAAAAGCAATATTCAACGATTGTATTGACTTTACGCGTCTTCTAACGGGGTTCAACATAACGAAGATATCGCAAATAAGGCATATCGCCGCAATTGAAATCAACGATGATGGCACCAACGCATCATCAGCAAAAGGTGCGTAATAAGGCGTGTTTCCATGTTCAACTTGTAAACTGTGTGGTTTAATTTTTTTTACTTTTTCGCAATTCTAGTGTCGTTTCTATTGACCGAAATGGAAAAGTGTACCGAAATTGACGTAGATCGGCCGTTCTTCTACGCTGTTATGGACAATGAGCGTATCTACTTTGGCGGCCATATTACGAACACGAGCAATTTCATAGGCATGTGAACTCGAATTAGTTACAAAAAATTTAAATGACAATTATAATTGCTTTACCTAAGCACTTGTTTAGTTTGGGAGCGCTATTTCCATTCCAATTCTAATGATAAATCATGCTACAGGAATATTTAATTCGAACTTTTGCCAACCAGCTTTTGTCGGCTATCGTGTGAGCCATGTTGACTTACAGGTATTTTCTCCAAATAGGTTGTTGCTTGTTGCTATAGATGATTTATGGCCAATGAATCTCAAAATAAGTAATTAAAAGTCATAGAAGAGAATAATTCTGTACCTCCAATTGCCAAGCCGTTAGCCTCTAGTTCTGCTGGGCAGGAGCAATGAAACGCCATACAACTACAATGAAATGAAGGCATGAAAATTTCATGAGAATGTACTTGTTTTCATCGGCTAATTACCGAAGAATGTACGCATACAATTTTATTTGTGAAGAAAGCGTGTCAACATACATACATACAGCGTAGATGGCATGTGGCATGCAACAGCTCATTAGCATGCAGACATAATAAGGCAACTGCAAATGCATCTAACTGTGATTGTGTGTCTGGTGCGCAAGCAACTGCGGGTTGTTTCCGCTTTTTGCGCGATTCCACGACACAAGCCGAAGTTGGCTGCGCTTGGCGTTGCGCCACGACAAGGCAAGAAAACAAAAGTCAATTAACTCATTTCCGTTGTGTTGGCTGTAGGTGAGCGCACGGTGTGTGTGGTTGGAGTGTATGTCACTGTTGTTGTTGTTTACGCAGCCGCCGTTGTTAGCATGATTAACGTCGCAAGCGCAAACTTATTACAGCACAACTTATGGGAAGTGAGGCATGTCTGCTTTGAGCGCGCACGTCTGTGTGTGTGTGTGATTTTCAAATAGTTCGTGGTGCATGCCACCTGCACACAATGTATATAGTATAGGTATTTACAATCAAACTAACTTGCACGTGTCGGTGTGCATTGTATAGTGCACTAGTATTTATGAGCGCCGTTAAACTTTCATCAGCACAAATGAAATACCTAAAGGACATACACACACACACACACGTACGCTTTTGTATGTGCAACATGTGCATCATTTGCATTTGTGGTTGCTTTTCCGGCATTGAAAAGTTCATATTTCGCTGTTATTACTAACTAGCACACACATACCTACGCACACCAGCACACACAAGCGCATACACGCGCTTCCTCTCTCCTTGCGGCGTTGCGCGTAACAAACTTTTGGCAGCAACTTTTGCGCTTTCATTGCATTTTGCATGGCAACGGCGCATTTGACAGCGTGCAACGAGTGTGTTTATTGTTGTTGTTGTTATACAATACGTATATGCGCATGCCTATTTGGTTTGGCTCAAATCTGTTGTAATAGTAAATTTATTGAAATTAATGATGCTTCATTACGCGCATCAGTGCGGCGCCGACCGCGGCTGTCTGTTGTCGCAAACTTTTAGTATGTTTGCGTGTGTTGTTGTTAATTAAGTGTTCATTACATGTGATCCTTTGGCTTCAAAGATTTCATGCAACACTATATGTATGACATGTGACGCGTAGTTCAAACAAATTAATTAAATTCGAATATCCTCGCAATTTAGTTAGTTCCACCATGTACCAGCGCGGCGTTCGAAACTTTATGCAACATGGAGATCCAGCATTTGGTGCCTAAGGTATTGAAATTGTTCTGTAGTGCTTTGCTAAAGCAAATCCAAATATAAGTTATGTACTCAAGTTCTGATGTCAATTCTCTATCATCTTATTAATAAGCTGCTGGTCCTAAAAATACTGTAGTTCTCTGCGATTCGCCAAGCATAAGCGAGTGGCGAATCGAACAGACAACGCTATAGTGGTTGGTGTAGTGGTAATATTTGCCAAATTTTTGGTAATTTGTCAAATAAAAGAGTTTTCCATACAAGAACTTAATTTGGATGAACCAGTATGTAAGGTAGCTATATGCTATAGTGGTCCGATCTTGGCGGTTTCGAAAAATGAGCAGCTTCTTGGGGAGAAAAGGACGTGACGAATCGAAGAGAGCTTTTATTAAATTCTCTCAGTTCAACCACTTTTTAACACCAAATCTTTTAAGATTTTTACTAAAAGACTGAAACTCTCTCAGAACGCAAAGAATATAATTTTAAAGCAGATCGTTAGATACCGCCTTTCGAAGGCAGGAGATAAACTAACCCTATCTGCACTAAGAGAAGTCTGTGTTGGCACAATTTACTTTAAGTCATGTCAAAACAAGTTTCTTTCTACCTTCCACTTTTATCAGAGTTTTAAAGATTAATTTAACTAGTTGCGGTAATCTCCAGCTTTTACAATTTCACCAAAAGTTCCCATTTATTACATGATCAAACTGTATTTTTATCAGTAAAAAGCAAAGAGAGATCAATTAGGCGCCAGAGCTTTTATCTCTAAGAAATCAAATCCATTGTGCGCTTATCTCAAAATCATAAAAAATTCCGCAATAAATGCCAGAAGAAACATTTGAAATGCATTGCTTTGCAAATTTAAAAACACACCCACTTTCCACTAACTTTATAGACTCCGCCGTATTAATTGAGCTTTTAGCCGAGACAACACACGAGCGCGCACAATGAAATAACGCCTAATGAAACCCGCGAGATTGCAATTATAGCCAAGCGCCGATTTTATATTCATAACAAAGCAATTTAAGCGGCTAAAGATTACACGCATGTAAAAGGATTTTCTTGTAGGCGAAGCCACACGCCTGCCGCGCCACACTATTAACGCCGCCCATTGTCTACAGAGCCGCCGCGGTGTAATAAAAATTGTGGCCACCACGAAACCAAGCGCCACAGCTTGGTTGCATGTGCACCCCCAACAGGCGACGCAGCATCAGTGTAATTGCTGCAGCCGAGTCGCGGCGGTGGCAAAGGCAGGCAGCTGCTTGGCGCACACATTTTGCAATTTCCGCCGCCGCAGCACTAATCGCATCACTCAATTATTGTAATCCTTTCGTATGACTGCCACAGCTAAGAGCGCTGCAAGTCGTGCAACGGTGTGCGATAGGCGAACGCGCGGTATGCTAGATATGGCAAGTGCCTAGCGCGCACTTCACATACAACATGTGCATGTACTCTCGCGATTCTGGTGCGTATGTGCCACACGTGTGTCACCTCGTAAACCAATTGAAATTATGGTATTTTAATGTGCAACATACGATGCATGAGCCCAAGGCGACAAATGGGCTTACATAAAAGAAAAATGTTTGTATATAAAATGCGCGCTAAACATATGCTTTCGCGCTTGAGTGGCATGCAGCGAAGTGGTCAAGCGCGCGCTCTGACCAACAAACGCACAACAATAAAGGGAATGGCAATGAAGCAGCACGCTATCTTCACTTAAAATCTGCAACTTAAACATAGTTATTCGACTAACTTGCAACACGGTTAAGGGGCGTTACCGCACGTTGCATTGATCTGTTATCCGCTGCACGCAGTCTGCAGTAGTTGGCGCGATTTTATCGCCAACATAAATAAATGCGACTGTAGCGTAGACCCAACGAGCAGGTATTCGTATTTACAGCTAAGCAATAATTTAACTATTTCACGATCAGCCGCGTTGCACATTTTTCGATAAGCTTGCCGCTGGCAACAACAAAGCACAGCTGCTGTGCGCGCAAATTACGGTAATTTACAATGTCAAGTTGATGCAATTCAGTGGTGCGCCTGTTGCTGCAACAGCAAATAAATAACAACAACCACACATCAGTGTTGCAACTCACGCTGTTTGCCGCATGCTGCATGCAACTAATGAATTGTGATGTTTATTAGCTAATGCACTGCGGCTATTCTACGCCCAAAATGCCAGTGAAAATCACAGTTGTCTACGTGCCACACAAGCGTGCGCCCCTATTGAGTTGTTGTTCACCACGGCGATTGATTTTTGCACTCACGAATTGGATTAGCGCGCTAATCATTAGCGTAAATTTATTATTGTGCCTCATTTTTCGCGTATATGTGTGTGTGTATTTGCAGAGGTGATGAAAGCCACTGACGGTGGCACGTTTGCAGATTATCGCTGGATTGGCTTTTGTGCTCTAACATTGTGTGCTGCACAGGGCTTTGTATAGCGAGTAGTAAAGTAGTAACTGCCGTTTGTAAACGCTGCCTTCGAGCGCTCAAATGGTTGTGATTGGCAGCAAATTTAGCGGGTTGTAGATATGATCTAGCGCCTGCAATTTATTGCCTGTAGCTGCTTTTAGTTTCCAGGTATTTGGTGCATATTGCCTCCATACATTGGAAATTAATGGTGGAGCACTTAGCTATAATTTATACAAGCGATACTAGGAGCATGATCCAAAAGTGTCTATAAGTATGAACAGCTAAGCTGCCGGTTTTACTAACAGAATAGTTTTAGCCATCAAGCATTTCCTCGTTAAAAAGGTTTTTAGTGTGTTCAGCTGTAAGAAACCCTCTTCTTCTGGATACATAATGGAGTTACACCAAGAAGACTCCATAGCTCTTTTTGCAATACACATTGCAAATTCCGAAAAGGCTAACAGACATATCAGGATAGGATAGAATGCCTTAGGGACATTCAGGATCGCCAAGTTCTTGTACAGGAACACCGAAGTAAAACACGCATGCCTTTTATTCACACAATCTCGAAAAGACTGCTGGACGGCCTTAACTAGAACTCTCTCGATCTACATTGAGCCATATTTTGGCCGAAGTTCTGAACAATAGACGAAGTAAGGTGTTGAAAGTAGCTTAAGCTCCGCGATTTTCAGTTTAGCTTCTTGCTAACATTAACTTAAATTTTTTTGAACATTATTTTATAACCCGAACGACTCCGATTGAAAGACGCTAGAACTAAAGCAGGCCGGTTCATAAACATAAATATTTGTACCAAATTTGGCCACTTTGTGCATATTAGAGGAGGAAATTTTTGGAATAAAGTCGTAGTTACAACCATGAAATCAATTACAGGCAATCTTTAAGACAATCAGCCGCTTATGCTATTATATATTCATACCAATGCACACATACATACATACATATACATATTCAAGTGAACAACACGCGCGCTATCACATTTTCTGCGAACTCTTCAATATGCGAGCGACAGCTACAAATTGTTGATAAAATTTACGAGTGCGTAACGCTTCCAGGAACCGC